TATTTAAAGATACGTCTAAATCATTTCTGAACGCTGTGGTAAGACAGGGAATTACAGACGAATGTCCAAGCGACTGAAAGAAACTGAACTTCAACTTAGCTAACCTAAGATCAATGAAAATATGATTTTAATTTATACCCATCGGTTTCAATTCCTCGAGTCAGCAGAGAAATTCGACTCAGAAGTTCTAATTTAAGATGTATACCATGTCACATACAAACTGAAACCCCTGAGTGAAGACAAACGTTATGGGTTAGGAAAGAAATGAACAAATTCAGTATTGATGATACTTTTGAATAGATATATCAAATAAACTTATGAATTTACATGACGAATCTGCACTTTTACCAATGCTTTTTTTAGAAGAAACAGTTGGCAACACCAACCAGTACCGCCAACGCAATGCGATACCACTCATACAATTCATTCGGTTATTAACACTATGTGCCATGAATGTTGCAAGAACTTAGCTGCTGCCATGACATGGTGGTCAGACTCGTCGATAGTGATTACTCAACCAAGCTATGTTGGCTGCAACACATTTTTCTTATGATTCCACCATGACAGACAGGGTGGTTGCAGAACGGTAAGACTAAAAGCGCCAACTTAAGATCTGAGAAACAAGTTGTACGACTGACTGTAGAGGGCTGTGACAGTAGTACGATATTACCAACATATACAGCCATCCTGCCTTGTCACAACAGAAGGGAGGGGTTGATGAAGGTAAACCATGAATATTTTACACCACATCTCAACCTATGGATTTCCTTCTCCAGTCCCAAGCAGTTGTTCATTGTTCAGTAGGCTCTGCAGATATACTCTCAGGTCTCCAGAACCAGCACGCGATGTACGCAACCAGGAAGTGATGTAGTTATGGTGTCGCATTATACTGATCACCAAGCAGTTGGAATAAACCAAAATTAAAGGAACCTAGATAGATCTTGAAGTGTTGAGTTTTCCAAACAGATAATGGTGACCGTCTGCTGCAACTATGCATAGTTGTATTCCTTGACCTAAAGACCTTTTCATCTTGAGGTTCTCTGCGAGTGCCTATCACTGAAGGGCATATCAAAGAACAATGTAAACCTTGTACAACCTCTCCACTTGAACACTACTAGTTGAGTCACAGCTTATGACAAACTATCATCCAAGTTGAACACATCAAGTGGTATTCGTCACGATTGTCCACCTTGCCGACTTTTATTTGATTTCATCATATACATGCTTTCACAAATGACACTTTACCGGCTAGACATTTTAGGAGGTTGATCTATCAGGACATTTACTTGTCAACTTAGAATATTAGAACAACACATATAGTTTTCACAATGGGAATCTTCAACTTAGAATACTCAGATGATACAGCTCAATTTGGTGTAGATGCTGAAAAAGCGCAGGGTATTCTGACCATTATATGCAACGATGCAAGCATTATTGCGATCCGATTCTCTTCCTCCAAGTCGAAATTGCTTCTTCAGATTTGGCTAGCGTCGTCGCCCGAATAAATGATAGACAGTAAAGTAGTTGAACCTATCAACCACTTCAATTATCTAGCGAGTTTCATCAGTCCGGATGGTCTGGTGTTTGACGAAGTCACAACTGTACACAAAGCACTATCGACTGCAATCTAGTTCACGATCATCTTTTCTGTGCGCAAGGTCGTAGCTTTCTGATTGTCAATACTATATAAAGATAATTCACTAGGGATATAAGAAATAAATGGGATTAGGAATTGTAAGGGATTGAGATATATTCTCTTAGTTTCTATTCCAGGATTTTCTTAATCTGAGGTTTCTGTTACAACTGGCTGTTGACTATTGCTTTCCTTATTAAATGTAATTTCATTGTGTGGACTTGCTATTTTGTCGCCTCACATTTTCTTTTGCCTTTTTTCTATCCCTCCTCGCAGACACTATTCTGCGCGCTTCTCTATTACACAAATTACCTCCTAGTTAGACGAGAAACGCTACGTCTATAAGTTCCTGTCGATCTTTAAGAGTAACCAAACTATCTGATCACAAACAGAGCGATTATTATGCACTTAGCAAATAAGGTTAAAACATACATTGAACAGCCACACCGAGATCTCGGAACGTGAATACTCAATGCCAACTCTAACCACCAGAATCCTTAACAAGACAAATATGTTTAGAACAATTAGTTCCTTTGATAAATTTCGATAATGATATTAGAAGACGAAGATTATCAGAACTATGTGATATATTGGCGCAATACATTGTATTATCGAAATTTATCAAAGGGGCTAATTGTTTTAAGTTTTTTAAAAGAAGACTCCCTGCACACACTATTAAAAGGTTAGACGAACTTGTCAACCTTAAATGTAAAATTGTATCGGAACGCGTGAAACTGAACTTCTATAAATCTTGTTTGTCGAGTAAATTACAACTAAATATTTCAAATCTTATTCGATTGTCCAAATCATATATAGATAAGTGCCAAGACAAACTGATCCATTTAATTGAATTACACACTCAAGCATTGCCTATATTAAATGAAATATCTATAGTTTGCCATATTACATTCACTAACTTTTGCAGTAATATCATTTTGAAAACAAAAGAAAGGATCAGTAAAAAGCTTGAAAAATCTTGTATTATTACTAATCAAGTTAATTTATTCCCAGTAAATCTTGAAAAGTATGTCACTAATTTATCCTCCATTGTATTATCTGCTAATGAGAAGGATGCACATTCTCTTGGTTTTAATTTCTCCGTCCCTATAACGCAAATGTCTGAATTGGAAATAAATGCCCAATTTGAAAATCTATATGATCAACTGAGTACTCTAACCCCTACGTCTTTAAATAATCAAAGCTGGTGTAAAGCTAAACTAGTGGATATAGCACACCAATTTCATAGTGTTGGCCCGAAGCAGAGAAGCATATTAACTTCTCAGCATTTTAAATCATTAAAAGAACTAAGATCAAACTCTGATATTGTCTTGTTAAAACCTGATAAAGGATCAGGCGTAGTTATCATGAATAAATGTGAATATAAAAGTAAGATGTTATCCATCCTTAGTGATGAAAGTAAATTTATGTCTGATGTTGAATTTGGAGGTATTAGCAAACTAGAAGGAAAAGTTAATTCAAACGTCGAAAAATTGCTACGCATGAATATTATTAATAAAGAGGAATTTAATTTTCTAAAACCTATGGGTTCTCAGTACCCTCACTTATATGGATTACCGAAAATCCACAAAGCTAATGTTCCTTTACGTCCAATTATATCAATGTGCAGATCACCTACACATAATCTGGCTAAATGGTTAGCAAAGTTGTTGGACCCTATTCGAAGACATCTATGTAAGTATTCTCTAAAGGATTCTTTTGAACTGGTTGATCATTTAGGTGATATTAATATCAAAGAAAAGACAATGTGTTCATTTGATGTAAATTCCTTGTTTACAAATGTACCTTTGAAAAAAACCATTGATATATAATGTGATTACATATCTGTAAACAATCTTCAATCACCTGTCCCTGTAAAAACTCTTAAAGATTTACTATTACTATGTACTGACAAAGTTCAGTTCACTTTTGAAGGTGAATACTTTCGTCAGATTGATGGAGTTGCTATGGGTAGTCCGCTGGGACCATTACTAGCAGATGTGTTCATGGCACATGTTGAAAATCAGACTGATGAACTAATCGGAAACATGTCACTTTATAAGAGATATGTGGACGATATCTTAGTTGTTTGCGAGAGAAAAGAGGATATGTACCGTTTATTAAATAAACTCAACACTCCAAAACCATATTAGTCTCTCATGTGAAGAGGAGAAAAACGATCAGCTTCCCTTCCTAGATATACTCCTAAGTAGACGAGATGGTTCAGTAAAGCGATCTATTTTTAGAAAACCAACGTGGACAGGTCAATATCTTAGTTATTATAGCTATTGCCCTGTGCAATACAAACGTGGTTTGATAAGGTGTCTTTTCAACAGACTCGACCGTATTTGTACTAATGACGCCATTGATGATGTTAAGTTGTTAAATAAAACGTTAATAGAAAATGGCTATCCTCTGAAATTCATAAATAGATGGAAAGTCCATGGTTCAGCGAGACCTCGGTAGAGAAAAAGCCTGTCTACATCACCTTACCATTCAGAGGTGTTTCAAATAGCCTTTTACTGAAACAACGACTTAAATCAGTCATCAATAAAACCTATTGCGCAGCAAAGGTCATCATCAAAGAAAGAACAAGGTGCATGCTTCATTCAAAACCTAAAGTACATGGAAACGATTGCGTCACATCCCACTGTGTTTACCAATTTAAATGTGTGTGTGGTCACACATACATAGGGAGGAGTAATCGTGATCTCAACATTAGGGTGAGTGAACATGTACCCAAATGGCTTCAGAAACAAATACAATCAAGTGACCCAATAAGAGCAGAGGATGAACATCCATCATCCTCTATTGCTAAACATATAATTGAAACAGGTCACAAGATTGATCTAAATTCAGCTTTTGTAGTGCTGTATAAAAGGGCGTATACTAAGGTTTATTGAAGCCTTAGCCATACGAAAATTCAAACCCCCTTTGTGTGTTCAAAAACAGTCTGTTCTTACCTTAAACCTACCCAGGTAATATTGACTTATTATCCAGAGTGATTAGGTTTCGCTTTGTGTTCACATTATTATTATTACTCATTATCCTTATCTCCTCTTACCCCGTTTCCTGTCTAGTTGACCTTTTATTTTTATATATAAACGTTCTTAACAAGTATATTAGGTGTGACCAGATTGTTCGAAATGTATTGCGCTAATATATCACATAGTTTGGATAATCTTCGTCTTCTAATATCATTATCGAAATATGTTTAGCTCTAGAAATCATTCTTACCTCCTCACATCTACGTGATACAGTTGAAGTAAACAACACAATAACTAAATAATAAAATTATATTTGATGCAAAATATTTGAAATTAACTGAAAAGATAAATAATGTACATAGCTGAATCAAGATTCCACTTCATTACAACAAAATTGTTATTGGCAGATTACGGACTAGAAGGTTAAATTCAAATAGACTAGGAAAATACCAATAGTTTCCAGTAACACATAGACTGAACAGCATTAAATTATCATTTATCTTGTCATCACTATCACCAGTCATTCGATCCAGCATGAAATCGAAATTCTCGGTATCTGCTGCGTATGCTATGAATAAGAGACCAGCACCTCCAGATAAAGTTCCAAATGGTTGAGCTTGTCGAACAATTTTATGTTTCTTCTTAGCTTTAAACTCCTCAGCTGCCAGCGTGAGATGAAAACAACAGTTAGTGACAAATATATTGAAGCGTCAAAACAAAGTTTACTGTATTCAACACACGAGATTTGAATGCCGAATAATCAAATACTATGTCTTCAATATAAAAATACAAATTCAAATCCATGGAACCAAGGTTTCTCAGAAATAGGGTCAATGAGGAAACCACTCATAAACCAGTGAGAATCCTCAACATATATCACATTCAAGTGTGGAAGTGAATGCTAACTAATCTAACATTAGGACAGATCAGTAGGAATCCAGTTTAAGGTAACCTAGATTGGTGAAAAGCAAACGGATTTCTACATACTTCATTTAAGAATGGTACATTTCTGAAATTACCATACATGTGGGATATGTCAACGAATTATTCATTTGGTTTCAGAAATGTGGACAGCAGAATAAAAAGCACTGGCCAAATCCAAGAGTTAAATGACCTTCAATCCACTCGCTTCCTGGCCGAGTAGTGTATAAGAATTTCTAATGAACTTCATATGTAGATGAGACATCTCTCAATAGCAATCTGTACTTTAACTATAGGTACATCTTCATTGAACAACTAAAGAATTCGGGTAAAATGTTTTATGAAGTAATGAAATACTCTAAACAATATTCACATAGAAACATAATATAATTATGCTACAGTTATTGCTTACATCCAACCATTCTGGCAACATGTGATGTGTTTGGTTTTCTTATCATCTCATGGCTATCATTTATAGTTCGACCAATCCATTGTTCTTTTGTCTCATCTACAAAACGAAATATGTGGAATTAGACTCTCAAGACAACTGTCATGATCATCATTCCTTGAATCCAACTTTAAGAGGAATAAAAATAAAATGTCAATACACTCTAAGCCTTCTACGTCTTACATCCATAAACGGTGAAGTATTCACTATCCTTCTGATTTACAAGTGTTAATGAATAACAGTTTGACATTACTTTAGCGCGTTAATTATGAGTCTTGTTTCAGTACCATCTACAGTATACACAATCAAGAAGTCACGTTTATCTACGATACAATCACAAATAAAAAAATGGACATGGAAATTTGGTTTATTGCAATATATCTTCATAAACCTGGTTCAGCTCATCGAAATTTACAAAACATGTCATTAATCATCGCATTTGAGCGTTGTGTTGTACACTGACTTTTTCAGATATCAGCGAACGGACTGAATAGTCATGGTGCATTACAGGCACAAATAAAAGTTACACGGCCAACTAAACGAATGGGATTATCCTTGTCATGTAAACCAACTAAAATTGTAATCAGCAACCAGAACACATCGTTACGCAATAGTCACTGATCTATTCGTACATTTGGTATAGCTGTGTATACTGCTTAATTAGATAACCAACCGGCGTTAATGAATCATGCATAGAATGCCATAATTACATATGAATGAACAGTAAACATTATTTGCAATGGTTGCTTAAGAGAGGAAGTGTTTGTTTAGAACTACACATTTCATCACTACTCCAGATCACTAAACACAGATTTCATGACCAATTAAATAAAGGAGTTATCTATCGAGTGACAATAATTTTATTCACAGTATTTACATCACAAAGCTATCAATGATTATTCACGAATACTGGTCTCAGTTGACTTCTTCGTTAAAATGTATATAGAATCTAGAGGCAACTAATGCTTTCTATGGGGATCTAAAGTGAATTATCAATCAACACAATTAACTGCATATAGAATGACAATAGTTAATCTAAGCCGATCAGCCATAAAGAAAAACAAACGTAGACTGGATGGCTCATTCAACGTAAACTGAAAACAGAAATTTCAATTGATCAACCATAGATGATTACTATTCATTCAAAAGGATATCTCTTACCAGCTGTCTCCTGAAGCAAACTCATATTGTGAACCCATTTCTGAACAAGAGCATAACTTCCACCTGTTTGTTTGTTGATCGCCACTTCAGCTCGTTCATCCAAAAACTTAGGGTTTTCCGTGCCTCATTACAAAATGGAATACATATTAAAATGTTAAGATCATGTTTTATCAAAACGTCTACTTTCCTCGTAAAAAGTGGTTGTATTTTCCTTACCTGAAAGATTTCTTCTGATTGTAACTTTCCGTTTCCCTCATTGTTATTATTATTATTGTTATTACACTACTTTACCCTAATGTGGTCGTTATTGTTCCTCTTCTTTTCTTTAACTCTCCTGACCTTTTCTTTTTCTCTTCCCATCCTCATTGTTTTGTGTGGTGCATATATGTTTGGTGCCCTCTTGCACCAAGAATTATGTGTATCAAAACTAGTTTTTATTATACGTATTGTGCGACACGTGGACCTCAAAATGTTCATCATTAGTAATGTATCTCGATCACACAAGTTGTTGTCGTCGTCTAATTCTTTTCAAATGTGAGTAGATCGAAGCTAGATAGTAAATGTTCCACTAACTTAATAACACTCTACACAAACCTAGCACCAATCATTCATAGTCAAACTCAATATTCATGAGAACCGAACCTTGTTCCTTATCGTTTTTGTGAAGGAATATTCTTAGCAGCGTACCATGGCAATCATGAAGGAAATAAGGAGAGCTTGATAGTTATATTGCTCATTTTCGTAGAATATGCATTGATTTTACACAAAGCAACTAATGTAAATTAAGTAGGAAAGCTTAATGTTTTCAATCATGTTCAACTCAAAGAAACATATAAGCTTATTGCAAACGAAGATCCCTTCGATTGATTCTCAAAGCATTTCTCAAAACAAGATTCATCAACACCATAGTTATGGCATCAAGTCAATTTACTTCTGATGAAGAGAACCGTTCAAATGTTTTCGTTTTTGAGGAAGATACTTAAAATTATTACGAAGGTTTGGTAGATTTCTGACTGTCTGACTGAGAAGCTTTCAAACAGAACACACATTCAAGAGAGAAGTAATTCTTGAGTGCTCTTAATGACCTGAAAAATAGACTACATTGTTAAACACTGCAATTTATAACAACCTTCTGATGAACATAAACGACTACATTATCTATACAAGCAACGGATTTAGTACTCAGCTCCAGGTTAAACAACTTTACATACACAATTACAAACGACTCAATCAATAACATGAAACTAAGATAAACATACCATCAATGAATTCACTCAAATCACGCCTATCCCGATATATCCAACCGTAAATATCTTCAAATTTATCCACACATCCACGCGGCATATTCTGAATGATGGATTTTGCCAAATCGAACAACATGCCATGATCATTACACTTTGCATGGACAAATATATCACCACCTTCAACATTAATAAAACAGTTGTTCCAAAGTGAAACTTAGAAGTATCCGATTAATGTTCCAAAACATCAACCTGCATAGATACCATGTGACTACATTACAAAAATATCAATCAAATCAAACACCCAGGCAAGCAAAGTCATGCAAGGCGCTTACGAAACCCCAGACTGGAAACTAGTAAATAATTATAACCGAACTTACCTGTTTTAGGCAGTTTACCAAACTTTCCAGATCTTTCACGATATTCATAGTTTTTGATGCCTCTGAGTCGGAAACCAGGACTGATTTTTCTGAAATAGTCAATTCCGAAACCAACACCGTGTAGAATCTCATCATGTTTTTGACACGTGTAACGTGAACAAATCTGATTAACATAATTCTACAATGAATGAACAAAGCACACACATCATGATGGTTAAGTAGTATATTGAATCACAAATAACGATGAAGTTTGAAATGCGTACAGTAGAATTTAGGTATCAAGACGGTTAATGTGTACAAATCTACTTATCTATGCAAAACATCGATATTCTATTTATTTTCCAGACACGTTCAGACGGCGAGACTCTAATTTAGCGACGAGCCAATCAGAAGCGTTTGAGCAATTTCAAGGTTACGGAGCCAAGTTCAACACGCGATGCTAACATACGGTCGGTTCACAGCGGATTTTAGAGAGGAGGTGATTAATGAGGTTAAAACAGATGGGACGGCGAAACTCTAATTTAGGGTCGCGCCAATGAGAAGCGTTTGAGCAATTTCAATTATTAGCTAGTTAGAAGACAGTATAAAGTGAGCATATATTGTAAGTAATGAATTACAATGGATATTCTTCTTTTAAATGATTTAAGAACTTGTTGAGGTTTGATAAAGGCTCAGAAGTTCTAAATTCATAATGCATATTGTATAGAAACTCGTCCATGGGGTTAAGGCTAGGGTTAAGGGTTAGGTTCGGGTTTAGGGTTAAGGTTAGGGTAAGATTAGGGTTTAGGTTAAGGTTAGATTTGGGTGCTAATGTGCCATCGATTTACATTGGATTTTAAAGAGCAGGTGTTTATTGACAGGCTACAACCCCACCCTAACCATAACCCTAAACCCTAACTTCTAAAATCCGTTGTAAACTGATCGCATGTTAGCACCCTAACCCAACCTTAACCTTAACCCTAACACTAGGCAACAACCCTAACCACTAACCCTATGGACGAGTTTCTATACAATATGCATTATGAATTCAGAGCCTCTGAACCTTTATCAAACATTAACAAGTTTTTATATCATGTAAAAGAAGAATATCCACAGTAATTCATTACTTACTTACAATATATGCTCACTTTATACTAACTGTCTTCTGATTGGCTAATAGTTGTCAAAGTCATTTAAGATTCGTTCAAAGGCCGTCGCTAAATTAGAGTTTCGCCGTTTAGAATAAGCCTAACACAATAGTCAGTTTATTTATCATACATAAAACGTGTTTGTTATCTAGCATCTGCGTCACATGTTTGTCATATTATGTGATATTTCAACTTCACTCTTACCCTGCTAGTCGCATGTTTACATTATGTGCTCATCTCTGAAATCAAGCTCAAACAGGCAACAAAAGCCTGACGAAACATCATTAGCGAAGACATAGTCGTAATCCAGAGCAAACAGTCTTTACCTACTTATGGAAACACATTTTCCCGACCACAACTTTTGCATGTATATGGGAACATTCAAAATTATTTAAAATACCTCGATTCTTCCAATGGATCCCAAACATTCTCGCGATGCGTTGAAATTCAAAAGGATTGTCAGATATAAAGCATGAGATTTAATATCACTAAGGACCTGAGAAAAATACAGCATTTAGAAGACAAATTTTACCGATTTTTGAGGTACAATGTGCAGGAAGTTTGAAGTCGCAAATTTTGATTTTCCGTTTGGACAAATGAAATTTAAATTGCAACTGATTAGTAAGCACAAGAAGCATACAAATTTCCTCATGTAACGGTGCATACAAATACTGATGTCCTCTTAGAACTACCAAAAGACCTACAGTAAGACATAACGCCCTTTTATTAAACAACATACCCCAACTGAGAACTACTGTGAACTGCATGACCCTGATGTTCAAATTAGTTCAAATACTATCAATCGACCTTCAACATTTTCAACTACTGTCCAACATCCAATGGTTCAAATGATTGTGGACGGAATAGAAGAAGCTTTCACTTAACTATCTTCATTGTCTAGTAGCAGTGGATCACCAACATCTTGAGGTAGGAACCTAGATATATTAACAATAAGAGAGGAAAAAATTTGTAAATCAAAGTAAGAACCTATCGTTAGTCCTTAAGAATAGGTCACATTCCCTCTTAAATGACCGCAGCGGAGTCGCTTAGGCTAGCTCAGCCAGCGATGAGTTATGGCATCTGATAAATATTACAGGGTAGATGTTGTGTCTACAGTTCCTTCTGCTGTGTTAGACCTCAATCCCGAGCTAGCATGAACAACAAGATTTATTTTCAGAATGGGTTTTGTGGAGATTTTAGAAATTTCACAGATTGAAATCATGAGTCAGTTGAAGCTAGACCTCCATTGAAAACCTGGAAGCACTAGACGGCCGTTTCGTCCTAGTATGGGACTCCTCAGCAGTGCGCATCCACCAGTGGAGTTCAACCAGGTCTGTCGTGAGATAGGAACTCACTGAAGACAATGGTGTACGGTGGCGCAACTTCGCGGATTGGTTGAAGTTAGACATTAACACCGTTGGATGCCAGCTCAGTGGTCTAGTGGTTAAGTGCTCGTGCGCGAAGCCAGTAGGTTCTGGGTTCGAATCCCGCTGTGTGCAGGGCCGTGGATGCGCACTGCTGAGGAGTCCCATACTAGGACGAAACGGCCGTCCGGTGCTTCCAGGTTTTCAATGGTGGTCTAGCTTCAACTTACTCATGATTTCAATCTGTGAAGATTTATTTTATTTTGCTCCTTGATCTCATGGTGCTGTATCTCGATTTCAGTGACCTATGACGACAGGAGCGTTGATGGTCTTTGTTAGTCCTGGAGATGATGGTCACTCAATTGATCCAAATTTCTTTTGAAAGAGTCGACAGCTGAAGCCTCAACCACATGTTGAGGTAATGAATTCCAATCGTTGTTGGGAAAGTCGGCTGGGAAAGTCGGTAGTGAACTGACAAGTAGTTCGTTCTGAGCTCGCGAACTTTTTGCGGTGTCCTCTCAAATTCTGTGTTTTGGAAGATAAGAAAAATGTGGGCATATCAGATGAAAATTTGTCACAAAGTAATTTAAAAACTGTAATCACGTCACTTCTGATTCATCGGTACGACAACAGGAATATTGCTAGCCTATCAGGTAGCAGTGTCGATGATTGTGTTAAGCCCATATAACATATGCTGGCTTCCAAACAGGCCACTTTATCCATTCTTTTTGAGTCTGTTGGGGACGACAGATCCCCAAACTCATATTTTAAATTTTATCTTATCGATCAAATGTTAGATATTTTTATTGGGGTCAATTGATGAACTATCGATTAAATGCGCAAATAGGTCAATTAATGAACTCATTGATTAATGTTTAAAAATTTTCTATCGATTGTAAATAATTGTATAAATACGCTTGACTTGTATGCTTGATCGGATCTGCCTGCCTGACTTGTTATCTGCTGTTGCTTGTAGAATATACTTTCTACGCCTTACCAAGACTTCTTGATCGAGTTAGCTGAGTCGAAGACAACGGACCAGAATAGTCTATCGAGTCGCTGAATCATTGATCCTTCGTTCCGTTTCGAGTAAGACGCATCAGTAATCGCATTCAAGCAATAACGAAACATAACAAATTGGCGACGGTGGTTTTTCGATTATGGACCCTACCAAACTTGAACTGTTACTTGAGCAGCAGCTAAAATTGATGCAAATGTTAATGGAGACCAAGGTTACGCCTCCCTTACAGCCAAGCACGTCTAGTTCAACCACGGCACCATCAGTAGATGGCATCGCAAATAGCATAGCTGAATTTCATTACGATCCTGATTCTAATGTTACTTTTGAAATGTGGTTCAGGCGTTATGAAGATCTATTTAAATTTGATTTCGCCAATCAAGATGATGCTTGGAAAGTGCGGCTGCTACTTCGTAAACTGGGTGCAAATGAGCTGGACAAGTATTGCAATCTGATCTTGCCGTTGAACCCACGTGACCGATCATTTGCAGACACAGTTCAAACATTAATCCAACATTTTGGCGATAACTCGTCACTGTTTAATACTCGTTATCGTTGCTTGAAGCTAACTATGAACGAAGATGATGATTTTCTTACGCATGTGGGCGTCGTCAACCGTGAATGCGAACGCTTCCGGTTAAAGTCCTTGACTGAAGATCAGTTTAAAGCCCTGATCCTTATTTGCAGCCTACAGCACCAAAAGTTCAGTGACTTACGAACAAGGCTACTAAGTCGTTTGGATAAAGAACCGAAACTCACCCTGAGTGATATAGCTAATGAATATCAACGTCTCATTAATCTTCAACGAGACACTTCTATGGTCCAGAGTGGTCGTTCTAGCCGATTTGAAGTACGAGCGGTGCAACAGACACCTCACAAAAACAAACACGTCCCCGCTTCATCCAGTCCATCTCACTCCAGCTCTAGACGACAGACTAAAGCAACTCCTCCTGCTCCTTGCTGGCAATGTGGTGCATGGCACTACGTTCGAAACTGCCCATTTAAACAACATCGATGCAAGAAGTGTAAGGTTATCGGTCATAAGGATGGGTTTTGTCTGAGGAAGAAGACTCCAAGTCAATCAAGAAATACCAACAAGCCCCGTCCTAGATCCCGCACCAGTTCATTGAGCTTAGTATCTTCGTGTCAAAGCTCATCACCAAGTCAGAGAAAATTTATTACTGTTAACATTAATGGGCATTCATCTAAATTGCAAATAGATACAGCATCAGATGTCACTATCCTCTCTCGTAAGACTTGGATCAAAATGGGCAGCCCAAACTTGCAGCATACAACGCAAAAGCCTCGTACTGCCTGTGGTAATTACCTTCACCTGCTAGGAAAAATGGAATGTACAGTTACCTTTCGTGATTTGGCATTTGTTGGGGTATGCTACATAACCCCAGCTGATCTAAATTTGCTCGGGTTAGATTGGTTTGATCACTTAAAATTAGCTGACGTCCCGTTGAATACCATATGCAACCTGGTATCACAACCACAACTGCGACAACAACCACATGACTTCGAATCATATACGAGCACCCTAATGACGCAGTTTTCAACTATTTTCCAGCCTGGATTGGGTCGCTGCTCTGTCATGAAAGCAACACTTCGATTGAAAACTGGGGCTAAGCCTGTTTTTCGCCCAAAGAGACCTGTCCCTTATGCAACATTACAAACAGTAGATGAAGAATTGAACCGCCTTCAACAACAAGGAGTTATCACTCCCGTTTCCTACTCTGCATGGGCAGCACCTATCGTGGTTATTAAGAAGGCCAACGGCACGATACGTATATGTGCTGACTTTTCAACAGGTCTCAATGCAGCTCTGGAACAACATCATTATCCCTTGCCTGTTCCCGCAGACCTATTTACCATGCTGAATGGGGGAAGATTTTTCGCTAAGCTGGATCTAGCTGATGCTTATTTGCAAGTGGAAGTAGACGAAGCATCAAGAGAGCTGTTAACTATCAATACTCATCGTGGTTTGTTCCAGTATAACCGTCTACCTTTCGGAGTCAAAACTGCACCATCTATTTTCCAACAATTAATGGATACCATCCTATCAGGTATCTCGGGAGTCGCGGCTTATTTGGATGACATTTTAATTGTAGCAACGACATTAGAACAACTACGAGAACGCACGACATTGGTACTGCAACGCATCAGTGACAACGGGTTCCGGTTACGCCCAGAGAAATGCCAGTTTCATTTGCAGTCGGTAAAGTACTTGGGGTTCCTTTTCGATGCCGACGGCCGCAGGCCGGATCCTGAGAATATCCGAGCTATCAAACTGATGCCCACTCCCACTAATGTCTCGGCACTACGTTCCTTCCTGGGACTTGTCAGCTATTACTCAGCGTTCGTTCCATCGATGCATGATATTCGCGCTCCACTCAATAGCTTACTGCAGAAGAACAGCTCTTGGAACTGGACAAAACAGTGTGACACTGCCTTTTGTAAACTGAAGTCCATTATTAGTTCTGAATTGCTGTTGACACACTACGATCCAGCCATGCCGATCATCGTAGCTGCAGACGCTTCAGCGTATGGCCTAGGCGCTGTTATCTCCCATCAGTTTCCGGATGCGTCGGAAAAAGCCATCATGCATGCAGCCCGTACACTAACCCCAGCAGAAAAAAATACAGCCAGATAGAAAAAGAAGCGCTTGCACTTGTGTTTGCTGTGCGCCGTTTCCACAAGTTCCTGTACGGTCGGAGATTCACGCTTCTCACAGATCACAAGCCTTTACTCGCAATATTCGGGTCGAAATCTGGCATTCCAGCTCATTCAGCAAATCGCTTTCAGAGATGGGCTTTAGCACTCTTGGGGTATGATTTCGAGATCCAGTACCGACGCACTCAACAATTCGGTCAGGCGGATGCCTTATCACGACTCATTAGTGACCAGTTGGCGGCTGAGGAAAACACGGTAATTGCATCTCTGCTAGCGGAAGACCACGCCGAATGTTATCTGACGACCGCAATACGAACTTTGCCGGTATCTGCAACGGACATACAAAATGCTTCTAAGAGCGACCCCATCATCAAGAGAACTATGAACTATGTCACCAACGGTTGGCCGACTAAGAAGTTTGATGGTGATATAAAACAGCTGTATCAGCGGCGGGGTTCTCTATGCATTGTGAACGACTGCTTGGTGTTCGGGGAGAGAGTGGTTGTGCCAGAATCCCTTCGTGCAAAAGTGCTGAAACAGTTCCACCTTGGTCATCCGGGGGTTAGACGAATGAAATCCATAGCCAGGAGTCATGCGTATTGGCCG